GGTCTTGGCCCCTAGGACCTAGGTTCTAATCGCCACTCTTCTTTTCACCAGTGGGGTCTCCTGGCTTAGCTAAATGTCAGTTTCTTTACCTGTTAAAATGGCGAAGGGAACCCCTACTTTCAGGGTCAGGATTAAGGTGGGAAAGGCAGGTGCTTAGGACAATTAAAGGAACAACTCGTTCTCCGCTCCCTGGTTGTCAGTCTGAACTTGCGTGCTCCTTATTAAGTTAAACAAACAAACAAAGATACCATGCAGATGATATTATGAGGGCCAATTGAAGGTGAGTTACCTTGGCTTGGGGAGGTTGTGCAACGCTCTCAACCTCACACAACCAGTAAAGGCCAAGTTGTCCAGCCTCCCTGAGGCGGAGCCCATGCCCAGGGCCAAGGCCAGTGTCTTGAGGGCCTTGAAGAGTGCTGGGGAGAAGGCCAGGAGAGAGTGCATCTCCGGTGGTCTGCAGCTGAGGACCTGCCTCACAAAAGTGGCAGGTAAAGTTGGGGCTCTGGGACATTGTCCCTGAGATCCCCACATGTCCCACCCTAGCTGCAGTGGCTGACCTGAGCGATGCTAGCAGCTCTCCCAGACTAAACCCCTCCCTCCTGCTTACTTCAGCTTCTGTCGTCTGCTCCTGGGCTGACAGTATTGCCCCCAGCGTGTGGGAGGACCAAGTTCTAAGCCTCCCATCCAAATTGGAGCCTGCACAACTCCAGGCTCCTGCCAGCACCCGAAGGTCTCTCTCAGGTGCACTGGGAAGGTGCTGGGGGGATAGCTGCTCAGGGAGAGGAAGAGGCAGGTTCCCCAGACCCTGGGTTAACCAGGCAGCTGACCAGCAGCTGGGCTTTCTCAAAGTCAAAGAGTAGGTGAGGGCCTGGTCTGGGAGCCATCTTCTTAACAGCAAAGAGGAAATTGGGGGGGCAGGGTGGCCAGATGCTGATCCTCCACTCCAGCGAGGCCCTCAGGAAATGAGTTTGGGAGTGGGGAGGCAGGTAGTCTAAAATGATCCAGGAACTGAGTGGCAAGGTCAAATGCTTTCAGAAAGTGTTCTCAAGAAGTCCCTCCTAAAGTCTCCGCTGGGGACTGAAGGAACAGTAAGAAGTGAGGGGAGTCCCTGCCCTGCGGCAAGGAGAACCCAGAGGGCCCCACCCACCACACTGGTCATGTCCACCAGCATTTACCGCGTACCTACCATGCAGGGAGCTTTAGAGGCACAGTCTCGTTTACTCCTCCAAGGATGTTAGGGTGTCAGTGTACAGATTAGGACTTGAGGACAGAGAGTGAGGAGAGTGAGGGACCCAGCCTGAGGCTTCCCAGCCAGTGCAGAGGGCCCAGGGTGCCCTGGTCTAGCAGCCAATTGTATTTCCACTGCAATCATTGGTGTGTGTGTGGGCGTGTGTGTGTGTGTGTGTGTGTGTCTTTTTTAAGGAAAAGTTTGTAAAACAAATCAAAATAAAACTAAAGGGGTAAGAGCGGGAATGCCAGAAACCTATGCACTCAGCCTCCCTCCTTGGGCACAATTTCAATGCCCTCTCCCAGACACTAGGGGTGCTCAGGAGAGGCCTGCATGCATAGGGGGCTGGCAGCTCACCCTCTGGCCGCGCGCTCAACTCCTGCAGCTCACCAGAGTCAGAGGGCATTCACGGCACACCTGTAGGACAGGTGCCTTCTGGAAAGCTCTAACATCAAGCATCATCTCGGGCCGACAGCTTGTGCCTGTGCCAGGTGGTGCCGTTTCGTTCGCCTGATAGTCCGGGGGAGCATCGGCTCTGTGATGGGGTCACTCCCCAGAGCTCTGCAGTGGTGAGCGACGGCAGAGCTTTGATCCAGCTTTTGAAAGGAAGATGTCCTTTAACAAGCATGTCCCTCAAAGGAGCTTGGATCGCAAATTGTCACCAGGGTCAGGAAGGAAAAGCCCAAGGTCGGTGAGATGCATGAGCAGAGGGGCTGAGGGGCCGTGGGGCCGAGGAGTGTCTCTGCAAAAGGGCAGCAGTGAGAAATCTGGGTCTCCTGACACCTCAGATTAGCGGCAAAGGAGATTGCTGGCATTGACAGGAGGTGACAGAAAGGAGGGGTGAAGGGTCGGGAGCAGAAGGACAGGGAGGAGTGGTCTTGGGCCCTCCTTACTCCTCGGGTGTTCCTGTAGACTCTGTAACCCTCAGCCCTGGAAAGGACAAGAAAAGTCCCTCTGCTGAGAGCTGGGTTATTGCGAATCTAGAACTCAATGCAATGAATAATGAATAAGTGAAATCACAATTAAAACCAGAAATCATTAAGCAACCACAATGTGTCCATGTAAGGTTGAATCTAAACCCACCCAGGGATGGTTTCAGACACTAGCGAGCTCTTTCCTGGACTCTCTGAAGACCTTTCTCGGCTGCCCTGCTCGGGCCTGGCCCCGCTCCCACAGTCGCCATTTATTTAACAAATATTTAGCAGACACCTGGGCTGGGCAGGGCACCAGCTATGCAGCACGTGCCTGGCGCAGAGTCAGACGCTGCGTAATAAACACTCGTCCTCTCCATGGAGCTGAGCTGGAGCACAGGCACAGTCAGACCACGGTGCCATGCCGGTGTCTGCTCTGGGTCACCTCCTGGAGCCCTGTTACAGCAAACCCAGTGCCGAGGGAGGCCAGAGGAGGCCAGGCAGCCACTTCGTCCCCAGCGCTTTCCCCTGGAGCCCCTTCAGTGTCTCATGGATCTTAGTCTCTGAGATTCCCAGCAGAGGAGAGAGTTCTGACCTAGGACTGGTTTCTCTGCAGACGTTGACATTGGGAAGCTGCTCCCACAGCCGGGGCAACCTCCTTCCACCTGGCCACCCCAGCTCCGCTCCGTGTCTTAGCAGCGACGGCACTGTTGGGAGGAGCTCCTTATCTGCCCTGGGCACCTCTCCTCTGTGCTGCCCAACCCTGTCTCAGCTCTCGGCCTATGTCCTGGTGTGACTGCATGCTAGGCCGGTGCCGTCCACACTGCGTGCCTCTCCATGAGGGCTGTTTACTCCTCCACCTGGCCAGGTCCAGCTGTGACTACGGCGCAGGGGAGGTGCTTGATAGATACATGCTGAGCCAATGCATGTTGGCCAACACGTGGAAGGAAATAGCCATCTATCCCTGCCCCCCCCCGACAGAGCCCTTGCACACACTCTTCCCCCCTCGCTTTCTCACACTCACCCCTTTTGCTGCATAAGGCTATTCTGTGACCTCGTCCCCTCTGTGTACAGAGTCACCACAGTTGGATGAATTAAAGCACTTCCTACCCTGGCCCTGCTGGGGATGCGGGGATGTGTCTGGATGACCCAGGAGGCCCACACCCATCTCAGCTCCCTGCCTCACACACTCAGTGAAGGGCTTTTATCTGGGGTTCCCTGGATCCTTGCGATAGGGCTTGGGGTAGACAGGCAGGAGGTAGAGGACTCGTTTTACAGACAAGGAAACTGAGGCTCCGAGAGTCTGTGGCTAGCGCACAGACCTGTTTCCTCAGCCCAGGCTAAAGCTTTCTCTGCTGCGCTTCTGGGATGCAGAAACTAGGATAGGATACTGCCTTCACCCAGCACTCCCCAGGGTCTTGGTGTTCATGGTGTCAGAGGAAAACCCTTCCTTTGCCTCTGAGGATTAAATGGGGGAACTTTATAACTCTCTTAACTCCTTCACCGCCTCCTCCTCCAGGAGGTAAAATCACTGAGCACCGCTGCCCTGTGGGCCTCCTCGCCTCCTCGTTCCCCTGTCCTGCCTCCAGTAATGCCAGGAACCCTGTCCCTCAGCTCTGGGCCTTCAGCCCACCTGGCACCCTGGCTGGGGCAGGGCCTGTTAGAGGAGGCTGGTAGGGGAAGCACAGGAGGTTAAAAAGACTTGAAAGCAGAGAAACAAATTTCACCCTGTCCCCTGCCCGGTTTACACTGCAGGTCCCTGGACAGCGGAATGCCTGAGCCGCGGGATGCCGGAGCCAGGTCATGCGAGCTAGCTATGCACGCCTTCGTCCTCTCTTGCTGTTAGTTTCCAAAATCCCAGGCAAGGGTTCGTGGGTCCCCCAGCCTGCTTCCAATGCCCACCCTCACCCCAAACAAGCCTTTTCCTCCTGAAAGACGGCACGAATATTTAAAGGTATTTTTCCAGCCAGTGGAAACTGCATCGTGGTGCTGTTTACCCTTCAAATTTATCTCCAGAAAGTTTGCCAGAGTCTCTCTGAGTGCCTTGCCCTTCCTGGTAGAAGGTATAAAACGGGGTGTAAGAGAAGGCTCAGCCCTGAGAAATTAGCCTCCTCTCTGCCCGGGGACCAAGGCTGTCAGCACCTCTGGGTCGAATGATGTCCATGCAGTCCCCATTCTGGTCCACGAGTACCCTTTCTGGGTTGCCCAGAGAGTTAACCCTGCAAACCACCTGCCACCCCAGTTCTTGGAGAAGCAGGAAAGACAGATGTGGACACAGGCATCGGACAGAGAGGGACAGGAATCCAGGAAGTGGAACAATGCACACAGCCCCAGCAGCAGACCCGGGAGACCAGGAGAGACGCCTCTTGGCACACGCCTGCAGAGCTGATCCGGATTCTGAACTCACCAGTGCACAGCGGGTTCCAGCCCCGTTGCCACCTCCTGCTGGCCCCCTCAAGCGTGTCTGCTCTGCAGAATTACTCACAGCCCACTGCATCAAATTTCCCTTTTATCAACAAGACACAACACTCTGTGGATAACTTCTTGAAACTCCAGTCACGCTGAGCGGCTTCCAGAGCCGCGGTAAGCGTTCTGTCCCTCTGCCCGCTGTAGCCAACAGCCACACACCTCCAACTCCATTTCCAAAGTTCCAGGCAATTACAGCCCGCTGAGCTCTCTGGCGAGGTGCCTGCCTGCTCAGAGCCAGCACCCAGTTGTCAGCAGCCTCAGATCCCAACCACTGATTCCCTGGGCCTCTTCCGAGACCCCGACGCACCAGATCAGCTGCACTCACCACACGGAGGCAGTGACCAGCAGGCCATGTCAAGAGAGGAAACGATGGTCCCGGACGGTCTCCCTACCTTTGCTGAGGGTCCCGGAGATGAGCTTAAAGATGGTCTGAGCAAATTTCACGAACCCAAGCTTGCATCTGTTGGAACAACCGCTCATGGTGGAGAGGGCGGGCAGACTGCCGTCAGCACCCAGAAGGATGACACCCACCGTGCGTGCCCGCAACTTGGAGCCTCCCTAGATAAACTCCGAAGGATGGTTGCACCCCCCCAAGCTCTGGGAGCAGCAAGCACAGCTGTTTCTGCAGCGAGTCCGGGTTCTGCATCCAGAGAGCCTGCAGGGTAAACTCTCCCTCCCTCTCTCCACCCCCTCCTGCTGTCCACTCAAGTCCTCCCCACGGGAGGAGCTGGGGATGCCAGGGCCGGGACAGCTCTGCCAGAGCACAAGGTGCTCTGAGGGAACCAAGGAGGAGCATGAGGCTGACAGAGCAGGGAGGGAGGAGCTGGAGCGCTCGCAGGCTCTGCTGACGGTCTTTCTTACACAGCAGTCGTAATGTAGCAATTAATACTGGAGTCGGAAGGGAGGGGACTGCTACATGGAGAACAGCCTCAGCCTCCCGTGTGCGCTCTCCCGCTCTTTCCTTCCTGGTTAACCTAATAGATCAATTCTCGGTGCCTTGCTCGGGATCTGGGAGAACTCCCCACGGAGCAGGAAGCTGCTTCGCGGCACTCAGCAGAAAGTTTGCGGGCAGCCTCAGAGCGGCCTGGTTTCCATCACAGAGAAGCTGGCAGCTAGGGGACCCCTAAGGGGTTGGCCTGTGCACACTGGACAGACAGACAGCCCCTCAACCTGGCGGCTCCCTCTGCACCAGCAGCAGTCTGCCTCCCTGACCTAGGACCTAAGAGGGCCCATGCCTCTGCCAGCCTCCTGGTTATCGGTAGGACCGCTGGGTTGCAGCCTTCACCCCTGCAGAGCAGGCATGAGTGTGTGCTCTCTCGTTAGGAGAGGAGGGGAATGCAATTAGAGCTTTTCTTGATTAAGAAAGTACTCCTCAGCCAGCTGGCGGTACATTGGTACTACAGCACGCTGGGATGCGGGACCACACAGGGAGGTTCTGGATTAGTGACCCAAGGCCTCTTCCCTCCCAATATCCAGGCCGGCTGAACCCGGGGGTGGGTTGTCATGGAAGATCCTGTTGGAGAAGCCTCTTTCTCTCTTTGGAGAAATAAAATTTTTCAATACTGTGAGATTACCACAGTTTGACTTCTGTGGAATACTCTCAACAGTGGAACTGCAAGGCACTATTCAAACATAAAGCCCAGTGATGGCTTAATTAAAGAACCTGGGTGTCATTCAGTATCGTAGACTCTGTGGGCTGGAAGGGACCGCAGGACCTCTCTCCCCACTGTACCCTGGGCACAAGCCTCCTTCGCACAGTCCTGCCACACTTCCTTTGCTGACTCAGAAGGACTGTGGCATGGGCACCATCTGCCAGTGCACTGTGGCTACCTGTGCCCACCCCACCCCCATGTGAACTAGGCAAACCCTGGAAACGTCTTTCTCTTCTTCTCCATCTGCTTGTCACCCTGTCATCGGCCTCTCTGGCATGCTCGAGAAGAATAGGTTGCTAAGAGCCAAGAATGGAGACTTCCATTTGACAAAGTGCCAGATACGCCCCATGTCAGGTTTCTTCCGCGTCTTCTGGAAGTCATGTGGAAATGATTCTTGGAGAAACAGCCCTTTCCGCTCTGAGAAGCAGCACAGAGGACAGCCAACAAGCTCAGAGCCTTTTCCCCAAGCCCCAGGCCTTCCAGTCTTGCTGGTGTGGTGTGAGTCACAACCTTTCTAGCAAAAGCGAGCCCTGGTGGAAGCCACTCCGCTGTGCTCGCGGTAGTTTAGGGCTGAGATCGCCACACTGTCCCCGCTTCGTCTTAGGTAGTAGAAGCCCCAGTTCAGATACACGTGGTACCTGGGAGTGTGAAGGGCACTCTGGTCACTTATTCGCTTATCAATACTTACTGAGCTCCTGGTACGCAGGAAAGAACCAAGCGCCCGGGATGCAGAAAGTGCTGCTCTAGATAGACCAGACAGATACTGTCCAAGGCCCCTGGACTCAGCAGCGCAGATTCGCCGTCACACATGGAGCCATTCTTGAGGATCAGTGCAGCCAGAGAACTTCTCCTTTGCAGAATCTTAGTGGGATGGGAACCAGGGCAGGGAGGAGAGAGAGAGGAAAAAGACCAGCTTGTGGAGCACCACTGGGCAGGAGGGAGCAGGCCAAGAGCAGACCAGCAGGGCACCAAGGAGGAGGGGAAAGATTCGAGAAGGTTAGGAAAGGGAGGTGCAGTAACCACCTAATCATTTTACAGAGAACACTATCCTCTAAATAAGAGAATTCACTTCCTAGGACGTGAGACTCTCAGCCATCTCAGCTAGACCCCATGGCTTTTCTCTTCCATCCTACTCAAGAGAGACACTGAAAATGAAGATACCAGAAAGGACAGTGGCTGTGACTTTAGTGACATTAGCTGACTCATAATTCAGTCTTAGCCTGGAAATCTGGCCAGAAAGTCTGCTGGAAGAGTGGCTCTCCCAAGGCTGTGTGTGGCATCTGTTTGGGAGTGATAGGCAATGTCTGGAATGAGTGCGCACTGGACCCCCAGCTCCAGAATCTGGAATCCCAACCTTTGAACATACACTGGGAAAGAAGCATGCTTTGAAGGATCTGGCAAAATCCTAAAAACGAGTATCCCCTAACTTCTCCAAGCAAGATGCATAATGGTTGGGACCAGCAGATGGTGTAATGTTTATGTCACTGGACTCCCTCATAGTCGACCATGGTTTGAGTCCTGGACCCAGAGGCTTACAACTCATGCCAGGCGTGTGTGCAAGTTTGCCCAAAATCCCAAGAAGAGACTAGAAGAGAAGGGATTGCATGGGGTCATCCCCCTATGAGATGATTTCTCGCTTTCTGTTTCTCTCTGTGTCTCTGGCAAGTATATGCACCCTATAACAAAATTCTCTCTAACAACAACAAAAAAGGTGCATAGTGGTTAACACAGATCTTGGCACCAGGTATTTACTCACTTGCTCATTCTACACATGTGTATTGAAAGTATACTATTATCATGGACTCTGCTCCTGGTGCTGAGGATAGATTGGTGGATTAAACAAAGTCCCTGAGCTTATCGAGTTTACATATACGTGGAGATAAACAACCATGGTCAACAAGTGGGCCTAAATACATGATGGTGCTCTGAAGACAATGAAAGCTGATTAAGTGAATGGGGAGTGGCAGGAGCTCCCACTTCAGACAGGGTCATTGGAGAAGACTTCTCTCTGCTAAAATGACATTTGAGCGGAGAGCCTGAACCAGCCAGACAGTTCTCTGGGGCAGGGTGAGCAGTGGGGAGGACTGTGGGTAAGGACTGTGGGAATAACAGGTGCAAAGCCAAAGACAGCACTGAACTCAATTCTAGTCTCTCTTCTAGTTTAGCCACTGTTGAGTAAACAGGTCAGTCTCACTGAGCCTTGGTTTTTTCCTTCTGTAAAATGGGAATAATGAGCCATACCATAGGGCTTGCGGAAGGTTTAAAGGAAATTAATGTGATTAATACAAGATTTGGCATGATCAGAGGCAGAGGTTAACTGCAGCTCCTACTGCTCCCACAGGGATTGCTGTGGATGTTCCCCATGCCTCATCCCCAGGACAACTCCACAGTGCCACCCTGCGGACCAGAGACAGTCTCCACCAGTCCTGGTTCTTGAACACTTAGTATGTGTGCAATTGCTCTGGAGGGCTCCAAAGAAAGTGTAATGGGCTCTGGGCCCTCACGTTGTAAAGTGACTGTTCATCTCACATGTGGGGTAGGGGCACTCCAGAATAAGAAGAGAAGATTGGGACTACGGAGGCTATTGTGAGTGGGAAAGAATTCACAGAAGCAGAAACCAAACAAGGACAGAAAAAGGAGAGGAAAGAGAGGACAGGCAGGTAAAGCTTCATTATCGAGGTCATGGAGCCAGGCCCTAATTTACTCCCCCGGCTGTAACTCTCACACTAAGCATTTTGGATTCTCCTCTGATCTCTGCAAGGCATCATCTGTTTGAACTGTCGGTCTTGGTTGAACAGTTAGAGTTAGGGAGGGTCAGTGGTATCCACAACACACAGCACAATCTTCCCAAATGTGGGCAAGGTGTTCAGCATCTAGGAACGTACCCAGAGACGGAAGATAAGTTGTGGCAGCATTAAATTCATGATAGCAAAGGACAGGAGACAATTATTCTCTGCCCAAGGAACATGCTATTCTGCAAACTTCTGGGGAAGAGCAGTAGGAGCCGGTATTTGGATAGCACCGGGGAGCGTAGACCATTGGCAATGCTGTCAGTGAGCCTCCTTGTCATGGATACGCATTATCGGAAGGAACGCGGGAAGCCAGTGCTAGGTCTCCACCTGAAGCTGCTCCTGAGAATCTCCCTGGGGGAGGTAGGACAGGCGGCCACCACTCCAGATGGTGCCCGGGCCTGGGAGAGTTATCCGAGTGCAAGGCTAAGAGAAGACAGAGATGCTGTCTTTCAGAAGGTTGAAAGGCTGTCCTCCTCACAGATAATAATGATACCAGCATTCCCAGAGACCCTGCTCTGTGCTGATGGTCTGAAGCGCTTGCTTGTCACATGTCAAATTCTCAGAACACTCTATGAGGCAGCTGTTCATACATTACCCAGTCTATAGAGGAGGAAATTGAGGCTCAGAGAGGGAAAGTAACTTCATGATGGCCTCACAGCTGAAGCAGAATTTGAATCCACGACCATTGGACATTTGGCTCTGAAATTCACGGGAACTCATTTCCTATCTCACCAGGGTTCAAAATCGAAGCCCCTGGCAGTGTTAGGGACAGCCCTTTCACCTCAATATTGGAAAAAACAAGCGGCTGCCCATTGTAATCACAAGCGCCCCCTCCCTGGAAACACAGAAGAGAAAATGGAGACATTCATCCTGGAACAAACTCCCTCCTCGGCCACAGCTGTGGGTGGAGGGGAGCTAAAGAGAGCCGTGGACAGACTGTCCGATCGCTGTCCAACCAGGAGACGCATGCTGCTTCACCTGGGAGAGCCTGGCATAGACAGATAGACATTGCAGGAAGCGGTTGCTGCCTCTAGAACTGGGGGCAGGGGTGGGAACAAAGGAAAGAGGCTGGGATCCTCTGCACCTCGAAACTCGAGGAGGGATCATAGGAGGCTGAGACCTAGACCTCGAGGACAGGATGCCTACTGGCTGGTGCAGCAGCCCTGAGGTGGGGCTGGGTTGACCCTGGGAGTTCAAATTGAAGGAAAGCAATGCTAGAAACTGGAACCAGCCGCTGCAGCGGGACCCAGGC